GCCCGAAGGTTATGGGTTTGTGGAATTTACGTCACATCAAGTGGCGGAAAGCATTTTGCAGTCATACAACGGAACACAAATTCCTGGGACTGAACTAACTTTTAGGCTTAACTGGGCATCATCCGGGATAGGAGAAAAGCGTGTTGATGCTGGCCCCGAGCACTCCATTTTTGTTGGGGACTTAGCTCCGGACGTTACTGATTATCTGTTGCAGGAGACTTTTCGAGTTAATTATCCATCAGTTAGAGGGGCCAAAGTTGTGACTGATCCCAACACTGGGCGCCCCAAGGGTTATGGCTTTGTTAAGTTTGCAGACGAGAACGAAAGGAATCGGGCAATGGTCGAGATGAACGGCATGTATTGCTCGACCAGGCCCATGAGAATTAGTGCGGCCGCACCCAAGAAAACAGCTGCCGGGGTCCACCCGCAGTTTGCAGCTGCTAAAGGTGATTTTTAATTTTCTGTTTGATTTTGTGAGGTGCCACTGCATGATTCTTGTTGGTTATATTTATATCCTGTGGATGGCGGTACTCTATAGCATGTCTAAACTCTTAAGATCTTCTATATTTTCCTAACAGTTGTATGATTGTTCTGTTCATTTCCCATGCATAATATTTTTTCGATACTAGTTTGAAATTAAATTCTCAGAGTGTTTTCCCTTTTTAATTCTATCCTTTGTGTCTTGAACTCTTATCACTATTTATTTTAATATTTTTTTTCCTCCCAGCTTCAATATATCCACCTTCTGTATACCCTGCACCAGCTCAGACGATTCCAGTGGATAACGATATAAATAACACTACTGTAAGTCAGCCTCTTTAGAGCCTTGTAGCTGCACTTTTGTTTTTTATTCTAACTATTTTGCTGATCTTGCAGGTCTTTATTGGTAATCTCGATCCTAATGTAAGTGAAGAAGAACTGAGGCAAATATTCGTGCAATTTGGGGATATTATCTACGTCAAAATCGTGGCGGCCAAGGCCTGTGGCTTTGTGCAGTTTGCCGCCAGGTGAGTTCTGGATCAAGAAACTTGTATCATCAGTACTTATCTTTTATCTTCAGCATTTTTTAGTTTTCGTAATTAAATATGGAAAATGGTGTCGTCCCTTGCTTTTGTACCTTCATAGGACATCTGCTGAAGAATCTATCCAGAGGATGCAGGGTGCTGTGATTGGGCAACAGGTTGTTCGTGTTTCTTGGGGAAGGACTCCAGCAGCAAAGCAGGTTGAGTTCTATTTGCTGTGGACCTCTGTGTTTTATATGACTGGCAATCTGTTGATATTTTGTGCTGTAGTTAATGTATTTTTACTTGTGCTGTTTAGTATGCAATATGAACATTCTTTTCCGTTTTCAGCAGTGTTTGACATATTATTGGTGTGTATTTTGTAGGATGTGGCTGGCATGTGGGGACAATCAGTGGATCCAAATCAATATAGTGCT